TTAAATGTAGTATGAAAAACCATTGGGGGGTTTTAAGTGACATGATCTAAGTTTAAATTTTAACAGGCTCACTCAGTGCTATGTTAAGAATGGACTGCTGGTAGGATTCTAATGAGGAGGTACTATAGTAAACCCTAAGAGGGATAAAGTATTTACATAGTCTTAACAGTGGAGGTAAAAGAAATCATCAAATTTTGAGTATATTCTGAGTATGCTGAATATATCAGAAGGTAGTTTTAAAACTGGGTTTTTAATAGTATTTTAGTAGATAGAAAGAAGGCCAGAATAATTTACAGAGAAGAGAAACTGCCTGTGGTTGACAAAAGGGAAAACTTGTATAGTAGAACACACAGTGAAATCAATCTGTCCAGGTTAATGATTTCAAGCTGGGGTTGAGCTACTCGTAAAGTTTTTTCACCTGGATAATATAAAGCTGAGATTGTGCCATAGGACAGGTCAAGCCCAACCTTGGAGAGAAGTCAGGGGAGACTTTTCAGAGTAGTAGTTCTAATTTTAGTCCAGGATAAACTGAGACAAGTGTGTGTGTGTGTGTGTGTGTGTGTGTGTTGGGGGGTGTGTGAAGATAGGCAAATGTGTTTCAAAGCAGAGTTAAGTAAAATACGTAGTCTTAAGAATAAGTATGGCTTAGTGGTTAAAAGCAGGGCTACCTGAGCTCAGATCAGTTTTTATGAAGACAGAGTATATCTCTAATGCCAACAAATTTATAATCATTGGGTTGATAAAAACTGGGAGTGATGCAGACTGTCATCAGCAGTCCTGGTAGGCCAAGCATTAGGCAGATCTTCTCAGATATGCCTGCCAAATTAATTGATTAAATCCTAATATATGTTGATTATTGTACTAGATTCTGCAGAGGATGAAAATTACACAATCTGTCTAAAAGGTAACATAAGGGTGTATTTTTGTTCATCTTCTCGGGACCTAGAATTCAGAATACACACAGACTGCCATGAGTCATGCATGCAGGTGTCTTTCACCAAACATTCAAATTACTCAGCAAATGAATTAGAACTTTAACGACTTTGAAAAAGTTCCTGGTGAGCAGTGAAAAGCAGTGTAGCTGAAATATCTTAAGAACCTATTGGCCTTTTATCTTTTATTGACGTATTAAGTTAGGATAATCATTTGATCTCTCTGAGCTTAAATTAAGTATTCTTAGATGTAAACTAAAGGGGTTGAAATAATGGGATTCCTAAGGTCCCTTTATCTTTTATCTCTCAAAAGTTTGATGTCATTCTAATGTCAACCTCATTTCAAGAAAGGTCCTACTACCAAAGTACTCTACATCTGGAGAAAATCTGGCTGGAAAGGTTCACAACTGGCCCCAAGACACCATGCTGAGAGACCCAGCGGGAAATCTCACCACGTCTTCCGGCACCAAGTGGCAAGCGTTTTTCACGGTGCTGGGGACTAGAGATTATCGCACACTTCCAATATCAATCGCAGAGAAGCCAAAAAGATCTAAAGGTTACCCGGTGTATTCCCGTTCCGCAGAGCACACCAGAAGTTATAATCCAAGAGGAACCCCAGCGAGAGGAACCCCACGGCACTTGCTCAGGAGGATGGTCGTTCCCAAATCTACCACGCAGACTCCGCCCACTAGACTACATTTCCGGTGGCCAGGCTTGCCCCTCCCCACGGGGGAGGTGCTGGCAGACTAGGTTGAGCTCCTGAGGGTATCTGGTGTAGGAGTTCCCTAGGGATGGACTCTACTATAAACGCGATGGCAGATTTTCTAACCTTCCTGCCTGCCCTGTCCTCCCAAATTGACTGGGCCCCTGTGGGTGAGCGGAGGGGTTAGACTTGATTTCTTTTTATTAATAAACCAGAGCTACTCATTTGTAGACGCATATCTTGAAGATCGATGATCTCTTGAGGGAAGGGACTGCCCCTGGACTTTCTTCTTTCACTGTCTTAGTGGTCTACCCTTCTCTAGGAGGGGTGCACGGGAAAGGAGTGAAGGAGATAAGGATGAGGGAAGGAGCTTCTCACAGCTAGGGCTTAGGTTAATAGTCGTTTTTCTCCATTCCAAAATGCAGTTTTAGTCATCTCGGATATCTTGCCCCCACGCTGGAATTAAACTTTGGCAAATCTGGTCTCTGGAATCTTGTGCCACATCATTTGTGTAGTACCTGCCACCTTGTGGGATGTTGAGGTATTAATTCCTGCAGTGTCTAGATTCCAGCCGTGTTGACATTGTAAATGTTTAAGGATGGATGTTGTTGAAGACAGCATCACTGTAACTTCACACATCTTCAAATGATTCCAAATACAGAGATTTTTTTTTTAGAGCTGGGGATTTAGGAGCAGAGTCCATTTAAATTTTTACGTGTGCCATTCACAAATATTTTCACTTGCTTTTATATGAAAACTAATTCATGGGAAGGGAAAACTGACCGAAGAATTACCTTCCTCTTTAAACTGTAGCACTCTATTTTAATAATTACTATATTTATAATGAAGCTGACAAAATGTTAAAACAGCATCAAGCAAGTCGTACATTGGGTAGTCCTCATGTCCGCGTTCTCTCCCCATGTACGTATTATCTAGTAAATAGTGAACACAAATTATCTTGAAATCAAAGAGCCAATAGTAGCTGATGCATAACAGTTAGATTTTTAGATTCCAAATATATATATATTTTTTTCTCAGAAATCAAACCACTGAGATGTTACCACTTTCTATCCATCAAGATGTAAAGAAAATTCTTTCTTTGAAGCTAAAATTCTGGTAGCCTCTTCTCTTTCTTCCCTAAACTACTCTCCTTTTGTCCTATGACTTGGTTACCTCTATAATCTGCACATACTAGTATCAGAGCAGATCTTTGGTTTTACCTCCTAGTGGGCAAAATCTCCCCAGGGCTCTCCTGTTGTCTCTCAATAGGGCACATGACCATCAGTACTCACTGTGAGATGGTCAGGCAGCTGGTGAGCAAACCCCAAGTGTTAGTTTTTGCTAGGTTGTGTTGTTTATGATTCCTTTGGTCTGGTATCTGGTATCATGACGGTTAATTGGTAAGGCTACATTCACGTACATTAACACAAACATCCAGATTTTTTAGAGTATTTATTACCACAGGATTTTTCAATGGATTTTCTCATACTTTATCTTTGAATAGGTTTCCAAGAATCATTTAAATTGTTTAAAACTAAATTTAACTAGTTAAATCTAGTTAAATTGTTCCTATTTAACTAGAATTTTTTTCTTTGTCATTATCTTTAGGATAAAGTCCAAACTTCTAAGATGGCTTACAAGGCCTTTCATAATCTGGCCTTTGAGTCTCTGTTTTTAACCCTATATATTCCCGTTCCGTTATTTTCCAGTGCCATATTCCAGCAAGTGAACTTCTCTGTTTTTTGATGCCATGCCCTAATCCCTCTGTAACTTTGTACTCCTGTTTTTCCTTTAGCATCTCTCCTAACATCCCCACCCTCTACCACATACAATCTAGCTCATTTCTAGTTTTTGTTCCAATTCAGGTATCTGTCTTGAATGCATACAGTAAAATCAAAATACATATTAAACAAATAGGTTTATGGGAAAAAATTGGGAGGTGTTAATTGGCTGTAAATGTTCTGCAAAAAATTAAATTTTAAATGCACTCCAAAGAGGCATTCTTTGAAGTGATGTATGTTGAACTTAATAAATAATAGTAAAGAGATCTTTTATTTTTTTAGAAAACTGGGAAATTTAGAGAAAAAACGTAAGCATTTTCCTTAGACCCAAAGACCTGGCTGTTGAGAAAAAGGATAAAAACAGTACTTTTATCTTTCAACCACCCAAAAGAAAATCACAGCATATAAGAAAAAAAGATTCAGAACACCTATAATGAGAATGTCAGAATCCATAACATTCAACTTGTAATTGCTTTGATGAATGAACTATATATCTCAGAAGAATTTCTTACATTCAGTGTTTTTCTTGTTAGCATGCTTTAACAAACTGCCTTATGTTTATATGAATTTCCATATTAATTACTTGTATTTAGTTTTGTCTTAATACAACTCATGTTGTGATGTAAAGGATGAACAAATAAACACAGGATAATTTTCCACACTTTTTAACTCATCATAAAAGTCCACTTCAGTATGCTTTTCTGCTTTTAAACAAGGTATGAACTCGTGAAAAGTCACCATCTTCATTCATTGGGAATATCTCCAATATGAATCCTTTTGGGCAGATTAAAATAAGCTTCTCAGCTCAAGAACTTTTTGGGATCTTGAAGCAGTTTATGGAACAAAGAGGCAGTTCTGGTGCACAGAGAATTAGGATACTTTATTGACCTTTTGCTGGTTAGGATAAATGGTAGACCTAGGGCTATGGATATCTCTCCAGCCTAGTCCCAAAGAGTACTTTTAAGAAATGCAGATCTTAAAGAATACATGTAGATCAACAACAATGCATCTACCTCCCACTGCAGATGATTACCCTTTTCCAGTTGTAGTCCCCACTGAGCACCAGGGCAGCCAAGGATATTAATAAGAGTAGAGTAACTGACTATCACTGTGGTCTTTGCCATTAATGCAGAGGATTTGGTCCTTAGAAATGTCCTCCTATATTCTTGTGAGCTCATGGTTTCTTGTAATCCTCTTATAGGAACTGAAAGTTCCAGTTTTATTAAATATGAACTCCAAATGCATTGTTTGGCTCTCCCAAATATGGACTTCCTCAAAAGATCAGGTAAAGAGGTCCTTTTTATTAACTAGTGAAAGACGATGGTAATGAACATCAGAATGATGCTAGACAAACACTTGTATAGTAATATGTTTAACTTCAAAGTCTGTGGCTTCATCTGGAAGCCTGGAAAATCTCCCTGAGATTTCTATCCAACCCCTCCAATATTAATTCCATCCTTTTCAATGAAAGAATAATCTCTGACAAATAGGTTTTTTTTTCCATTAAGCATTTTCATAAAATTCTTTTCCAACATAAATTTATGGATATTGAATAAGTCCTGCACTGTGACTGAAGATAATACCACATTTACGCTAGTTATAGGACTTCTCTTGAGTATGAAGTTTTTGGTGTTTAATAAGATTTGAATTCCTGTTGAAGGTTTTCTCACATTTGTTACATTTAAATGGTTTTTCTCCTGTATGAATCATTTGATGTCGAATAAGTGAGGAGCTCCGGCTGAAGGATTTACCACAGTTAACACATTCATAGGCATTACCTCTAGGTTGGAGACTTGGATTGTTATTACTGTTTTCACTCTTACTGAAGGCAGTTCCCCATTTATTTTCTCTGTAGGCCGTTTCTTCAAGATGAATTTTTTGATGCTTACTAAGGTTTGTTCGTCGGTTGAAGAATCTCTCACACTTACTGCATTTATAGGGTTTCTCTCCTGTGTGAATGATCTGATGTCGAACAAGGGATGAGCTCCGGCTGAAGGCTTTCCCACACTGAAAACATTCATAACAATTCATGACGGTATGACTTTCTGGATGTCGAATATCTGTATTCAGGCTTGAGGCATTCCCATATTCATTATATTCTGAATGTTGCTTACCTACTAAGTCTAAACTAAATTTGGAGTTAGTTTTAAAATTACCGCACTTTGGGGACTCCTTCCTCATAGGAACTCCCTGTTGTGTATTAAAAACTAAGTTAACTGACTTAACATCGAAGCTTTTCTTATTTTCACAACATTCCAAGTCTCCCTCCTTAGCATAAATTGTGTTATGAACAAAAGTTCCTTGTGGCAAATACATGTCCTGGTGTTCGTGTTTCCTGTGTAAGCAATCATCCCTTTTCCAGGCATCTAAAGAAGGAAGCCCACTTTGCGTCAGTTTGGTCATTATCATTCTATGGGATGATTCTTCTCTAGAAATGTTCTCCTTTGGAACCAAATCCTGATTTTCTGACATTGTCCGTCTATCTAAAAAACAAATAAAAAAGAAAATTCCACATATTAGAAGAAGGGAAATTGCTTAAGGAAAGAGAGGCTAAACCATGTAAACTGATATGCATATTTTATGGCTTTTACAAAGAGAATGAAAATGTGAGATGAGGCTAGAAAAGGAGAATTACAGAACAAATAAATGGGATAAAAACATTAAAAGAAGGTTTGGAAATCAACAAGGTAAAGAATAGAAGAAAGAGCATTTTATTGAAATGGGATTCAAAAGATAACTGAGGGAGAGGAATTACCTTTGAAAGGAAGAAACTGAGTAATCTGTCTATCAAATTAATAAAGATTTTATGTAAAAAAATACCTAGTGTTTGCTGGGGTGATAATTAATAAACACAGATTATCTAGAGAGATAATAATACTCTCATTATTAGTGATAGTCTGAATTGGTTTAACCTATATGTAGACAATGTAGCAGACTCTAAGAGGAAAATTAAGTATATTTATTCCCTTTGTAAAGAAATGTAGAGCATATATAGTATGGAATATTACTTAGCCATAAAAAATAAAATTTGCTACAACATGGATAAACCTCAAGGGAATTATTCTAAGTGAAGTCAGTCAAAGAAAGACAAATACCATGTGATTTCACTTATATATAAAACCTGACATGGTTGTTCATTTATATTTATTATATTTATATTTATAACTATATATTTACATATTATATATAAAACCTGATAGGTTTTGTCATTTATATCATATTAAAAAAACAAACAAAACAGACTAACAGAGACAGAGAACAAACTGATGCTTGCTGGTGCCAGAGGGGAGGGGAGCTGGGGAGCTAGGTGAAAAAGGTGGAGGGATTAAGAAATACAATAGGTAGTTACAAAATAGTCACAAGGATATAAAATACAGTTTAGGGGATGTAGTCAAATAATATTGTAATTATGTATGGTGTCAGGTAAGCACTAGATTTCTCTGGGTATCACTCCTTAAATGTCTAATCAATATGTTATATGCCTGAAACTAATATAAAATAATATTAAATGTTAACTGTAATTTCAAAAATTCTTAAATGAATAAAATGCATCCCTGGATAGGTCCCTAAAATAAATATATACACACATATATATTTATTTATATGTACATATATATATATATATATATATACACACACACACACAAACAACACTGCATGCACCTTTTTTGATGCTGAAGTTCCTCTTCTAATAAGGTATCCTAAGAAAGTCATCAGATATTCCTGAAAAATTGGCAATAACCTAAATGTCCAATAGTAGGGGCTGGGGGAAGGAATAGTTGAATACGCTGGTACAGGTATATGATGGAATATTATATGTGAATTAGAAACCACATTTTCATAGACTTCAGTGAAATACTGTGGGCAACTGTGCAATGTCTCAATATTAGGTAAGAAGAACAGAATACATGTATATAATGATATATTCCTGATAACTCCAATTTTAGAAAAAAAGAAAAATTGTCACAAGCCACAGAAATGTATCATTACAAAGAAAATGGCTTAAGAAAACAAACCAAATGTTAATAGTGAGGTAATGGGGTGAGTTATATTACTACTCACAATTTGTTACACTTATTAAAATGTATATTAAGCCACAGTAATTTGTAATGTCTCACAAAAAATGTTAATAAGAACAGAGATTTTGATGAGGGCAGGGGTTTAAGGCATAAGTTAAGAAGGGAAAAAATGGAAGAATGCTGAAGCCGCTCTAGGATAAAGCTGAGTTTTCTGTTTTCTTTAAAAGGAAGAATATCATTTAATGTTCTGTTGGCTAACATTTGTTTCTATAGCACTTACCAGGTATCAGGCACTGCTCTAAACATGCTGTACATGTCAGCACATTGAATCCTCACAGTAAAGTGGAGATAGATATTATTATTCACTCTGTTACAAATTAGGAAACTGGCTGATAGGCCACATAGCTTTAAGTTAAATGTCTGTATTTATAACCCATAACACTATTTTGTCTGTCTGTGTAAGAAAAAGAGCCTGTGAATAAAAACCAATGAAGACTTTTTTCCTTCAAAATGTAGGTGGTTTTGCTGTCACCTCCCAACTATCACCTCAAAGGCTGGCTTGTGCATTGTAGTTTAACAAACAAACAGCTGTTTACTAATGACTCTTATCTGCCTGCTTCTTACCAAAAACTGTTGTTCTTGGGATTTGTTGTTCCATCATCCATCTTTCTGTCTTAATCTCCAACTTGGGGACCTCAACTGGTTTGGAAAATTGAAGCTCTGTTCATGGGGCAAATGAAAACAACAAACAAACATACATGACACTTCAGACATTTTCACAGGGAAAAGAATTCCATCGCAACATAATCTAAGAGCTGTTGAAAGATAAGACCAGAATCACCAAGGACCTGTGTACTTCAAACTAAAGGACTTCCAACCTGTTACAGCAAGAAAGTCTGCCACTGTCCCCAAAGGATGGTAGGAAACCTAAACCTGAACCCAACTGCCCTTAATCACTTCAGCAGTCCTACAGTTTTTAACAGCAGATGAAGAGACTACTAATGGGTACATTAGGTAAACACATAGAAGCCACCTTTCCGCAATGAACTGCAGTTCCTATAGTTCTCCAGCATCACATCCCTGTAGAGGTTCCTTACAGCAGGGTCCAATTGCCCCCATTCTTCAGTGCTGAATTCCACAACAACATCTTTGAGTGTCACTGGTTCCTAAAACATTAAATTCCTTTTTAATAAAAGGTCACCGAAAATATACTAGACGAGAAATAAATTTGGAAAGAATAGAGTAGGTGGCCAGAATATACAAGAAATTGAGAGGACAATGTTTGGAGTTCTAAGTGATGAAAATTAAGTTTTTATGGGTCTATCAACTTGGAACTCTTTTTTGAACTCTTTTTAATCTAATTAATTTTTAACTTTTAATTACATTTTGTTGGAGGAAAAAGAGAGTTGGAATAACTGTGGAATAAGTAATTTATATTATAGAGTACAAACAATTTACATAAAAGGAGTTTGGAGCACAAGTGGTTTAAGGCAGATTTGAGGGAAATTTAAAGATGTAGCATAAGAGATAGGGCATCTTATCTAATTGAGAAATGCAGCATGCTAATGCAGGTCTCATGACCCAATGTCACCTTGTCAGACAGGACTTCTGCCTGATTACCCAAAGTAGCCATTTTCCTTATCAGTCTCTACTGCATTATATATATTTTTTCTTTTAAATAATTATTGTCCTCAATTATCTTCCTTGCTTGCGTTTGTCTGTGGGCTTCTACTAGAATATAATCTCCACAAAAGCAGGGGTTTTGTTTCATTTACTGTCACATTCTCAGCCCTTAGATAAAGTGTCTGGCACCTTGGGTACCACATAAACACTTGTTATAAGGGCCTTCAGACCATCAGTTATTGCACTTCTCTTCAGCATTCTCAACTTTGTCATTGTTGGGGTCTTTAATCACACTGAAATAATACAACTCCTTTCCCTTCCCCTACTTCTCTATATTGTGAATAAGTTGTCTACATTGGTTTTGCCTACTTCCTCCCCTTCTCTTTTTCCCTCAGCCCTCTGCAACCTGGCTTCTCTTTCATGCGTGTTTGTATGTCCGTGATGATAAGTGAACAGACACTACTCAGGCTGGATTTTTTTTTAAAGGCTTTCTCCTTGAAATATTCTCATGCTTTGCTTTCAGTGACATTACATTTTCCCGGTTTTCCTCTACCACTTTGGTCTCTTCATTTCAATATCCTTTGATGTTTTTTCTCCTGTTGGTTAAATAATAGTGCTCGGGATTCTGTTCTTGGCTGCCTTCACTTTTAATGCTAAACATTCTCTGGATAGGTTCTGTTTTCTTTCCTTTTTACCCTTTAAAAAAATTTTATTTATTTATTTTTAGAGAGATGGGAAGAGAGGGAGAAGGAAAGGGGAGAAACATCAATCTGCCTCTCACAGGCCCCCAACAAGGAACGTGGCCCACAACCCAGACATGTCTCCTGATGAGGATTCGAAGCAACAACACTCTGATTTGCGGACCAATGCTCAAACCACTGAGCCACACCAGGGAGGGCTAGGCTCTGTTTTCACAGATTCAATTATTGTTTACAATTTTGAAGAAATAGATGCACAGAGATTATACAAAGATTACATTTTCCAAAAAATGTATCACCAACTAAAATGGTCCAATGGGAGAACAATCTCGTATCCTTAGATAGAACTGTCTTTACTTCCGGCCAAGATGGAGGCATAGGTAGACACACTGTGCCTCCTTGCACAACTAAAATTAAGAACAACGAAAATTGCCCTGGCTGGTGTAGCTCAGTGGATTGAGCACGAGCCTGCAAATCAAAGGATCGTGGTTGGATTCTCAGTCAGGGCACATGCCTGGGGTGCAGGCCAGTTCCCAGCAGGGGACACACAAGAGGCAACCATACCTTGATATTTCTCTCCCTCTCTCCTTCCCTTCCCCTCTAAAGATAAATAAAAAAAAAAAAAAAGAAAAAAAGAACAAAAATTTAGAAACAAAAAACATCAGAACTGACAGAAAACTGAACTGTATAGAAGTCCGACAACCATTCAGACTGATAAGAGGGGCAAAGTCAGCGGCTGGCAGAGAGGGGTAGCAGCAGGAAAAAAGTGGTGGCTGGTGGACCCGGGCGTGCAGGCAGGGGCTGGCAGACCTAGGCGTGCGGTGGCAACAAGTAGACCCAGTGAGGCTTGCAAGGTGGCTTGCTGACCAGTCACACATTCACGTGCAGATAAACCAGGTGAAAACAATTAGTGAGACAGACTGCGCAACTCAGGACCCCAGCACCGATAAATAAAAATCTAAAAGCACCAATTGAAAACACTTGCAGGGGTTGAGGTGCCACTAGAGACTCCCAGCCTCATAGGAGAGTTCACTGGAGAGACCCACAGGGTCCTAGAATATACACAAGCCCACCCACCCAGGAATTAGCACCAGAAGAGCCCAATTTGCTTGTGGGAAGCAGCAGAAGGGACTGAAATCTGAGAGAGAGCAGAGCAAGCGCTACTGTTCCCTCTTTGACCCCACCCCCACATACAACATCACAACCCAGCAACAGGGTTTCCCCACCCTGGTGAACACCTAAGGCTCCACCCCTCATACATAATAGGTGTGACTAGACACCCCCCCCACACACACACACACAAAATGGCTCAAATGGAAGAACAGATCAAAGACTCAGAGCCAATACATCTAAGCGACCAAGAGATAGCCAACCTATCAGATGCACAATTCAAAGCTCTGGTGATCAGGATGCTCACAGAACTGGTTGATTTTGGTCACAAATTAGATGAACAAATGAAGGCTACACTAACTGAAATGAAAGAAAATGCACAGGGAAGCAATAGTGATGGGAAGAAAACTGGGACTCAGATCAATGGAATAGACCAGAAGGAAGAAACAAACAAACAAACAGAAAAGAATGAAGAAACAAGAATTCAAAAAAATGAGGACAGGCTTAGGACATCTTTAAATGTTCCAACATATGAATTATAGGTGTACCAGAAGGGGAAGAGAAAGAGCAACAAGTGGAAAACTTACTTGAACAAATAATAAAGGAGAACTTCCCCATTCTGGCAAAGCAAATAGACTTCCAGGAAGTCCAGGAAGCTCAGACAGTCCCAAAGAAGGTGGACCCAAGAAGGAACACACCAAGGCATGCCATAATTACATTATCCAAGATTAAAATGAAGGAGAGAATCCTAGAAGCAGCAAGAGATAAGGGGACAGTCACCTGCAAAGGATTGCCCATCAGACTGTCAGCTGATTTCTCAAAAGAGACCTTGCAGGCATGAAAGGGCTGGAAAGAAGTATTCCAAGTCATGAAAGGCAAGGACCTTCATCCAAGATTGCTCTATCCAGCAAAGCTTTCATTTAGCATGGAAGGGCAGATAAAGTGCTTCTCAGATGAGGTCAAGTTCAAGGAGTGTATCATCACCAAGCCCTTATTATATGAAATGTTAAATGGACTAACCTAAGAAAAAGATAAAAATATGAACAGTAAAAAGAGAGCAAACTCAGTTATTAACAACCACACACCCAAAATGAAAGCAAACTAAGCAAACAACTAGAACAGGAACAGAACCACAGAAATGGAGATCACATGGAGGGTTAGCAACAGGGGAGTGGAAGGAGGAGAGAGGGGGAAAAGGTACAGAGAATAAGTAGCATTGATGGTAGGTAGGAAATAGACAGGGGGAGGGCAAGAATAGTATAAGAAATGTAGAAGCTAAAGAATTTATGACACATGGACATGAACAAAAAGGGGGGAATGTGGGTGGGAGAGGTTGTGCAGGGTGGAGGGGAGTGAAGGGGGGGAATGGGACAACTGTAATAGCATAATCAATAAAATATATTTTTATAAAAAGAACTTTGTCAAAAGCTCAAAGGCCGAAAAAGAAAAAGCAGCTCATTTCAGTACAGAGTGGAATCCAAATTAACCTGGGATTTGCCTGTTAGTGAGTTAGCTTCCATTTTCTCCTTCTTCATGCTCCCGTTCTGGACAAGGGCAGAATCTTCACAGGGTATATCTGAAGAACATGAAGGAAAACATTAGGGAGACAAGCTTTGCCCTGGAGAAACATTTAATGGTTACAGCAGCGATTCTACCTTGCTATTAATAGGAATCAGCTTTAAAGAACTTTGAAAAACTAATGATGCCAGGCTCTACCAACAACTGGAATCTCCAAAAGTGGGGCCCAGATCTTATATTTTTAAAAAGCTCTGAAAGTAATTCTGTTATTCTACTAAGGACTGAGAGCTACTGATCAGAGTCAAGAAGGCCAAAATAATATTTTGAGTTCTCATCTGTGGTTATAGCAGATTCTAAAAATAACTTTAATCTTATCAAAGCTAAAGCCTACCTATGGCTCAGCCCCCACAAGCTGTGTGTAATTCTATGGGAGCTAAGAACACGGGGGGGGGGTGCAAAAATAGGATTATAGTTCTGAGAAGACCAAACAGACTTTATTCTTGTATTTTTATTAATTAGTGCATTATTTTCCATATGAAAAACTATCAGCTTGCTTTTGCCCAGCCCTGTATTTTATCCAACCAATCCTTTCCTCAAACACATTGAGGAGAATTCTACTCAGGGATTCTTTTCCTCCAGGTTAATCTATACATACTAATCACAGACTTAGGCAGTCTGGTCACTGTGAACTACTGACTCTTTCAAATACATAAGAATCTCTGTGGCTACCAATTGTTCTCCAGCCTGTTGGTGAGAAGTATACCCAAAGGCCACTGTACTAAAGTTATTCCAAGGTTCATTAGTTACACCAAAGATCCTCAAATGCCAAACTATAAGCCAATACTGGTCTGTGAAGTTGTTTTCATGAAAAGAAACAATGCAGGAGATATTTTATGAGATCCTTTAGTAAGTAAAGGCAGAATCTGCAGGGGGGGGGGGACCAAATGTCTCAGCAATATACTATTTGAATGCTGCCCAAAGATTACTGTTAACTCTAATCAGGCCTACAATGTTTTGTGATACCTCCGTCAGCTCCATCCCTAGGACACAGGAGGCAAACACAAGGCCCTTGGGCCGAATCCAGCCCTCTACCTTGTTACTACCCAGTGGCAGTGCCGAGCTCCTTGACCCTAGTTAAGGAGCAGTTGCATTCACACAGCCCTAAAATTACATTCGGCCCTTTGAAGGCAACTGTGAAGCTGATGTGACCCTCAGTGAAAACGAGTCTGACACCCCTGCCCAAGGACAGTCCCTTAATTCTCCTTCCCTGCTGACCTCCTTCTTGAACTTTTACAAGGGTATTCACAGAAACTCTCATTCCATTCAAAGAAAAATTCATATGCATTCTCAAGCTCGTTATGAAATTTTTTCCCTTTCTAATGTAAAGTGGATCTTGGCTCTCAACACGTCTTTTCATCCTCCAGTATTATGGTCTTAAAAGTTTAAATATACTAATACCTCCATATTCCTACTTCCTCATAAAGTTTTTTTACTCATACAAAAATTTTTTCTTAACAGCAGTTCATTCACTTACTGCTTTACTGACGTAATACACTAAGAACTGCTCATTTACTTATTCAACATATATTTACTGAGCTCTCCTATGCGTGAGGCACACAAATGCCTGGCCTCAGAGAGCCTACAGTCTCTTGCGAATGAAAGACACTAAGTAATTGTGCTAGGTCAATAAAAACTCTGATTATTTAGCTCACTATTGCTTTCCACCCTGAATCCTGCCAATATTATGATGTTACTTCAACAGTTGCATAGACAACCCAACCTGAAGACCCTTGACACCTTTATTTATCATAACCATCAGCAAGTAAGCTACTTCCGTTTTCATACTTGGGTCCTTATTATTTAGAATTGTTCTACCATGAGAACAGATTTGAATACATCAATCCCTAACTATATTTTCCTATCCTTTCGACTTGCATGTTCTTGCTCTTAGTATATTCTCTAACTTTTACCAAGGACCCACCACAGTACATTGATTCTTTAATTTTCTCTAAGTCTACTACCTCTTTTGAAGTCACTTTCTTTCCAATGCTTTCATTTCATGGTAAATCACTTTCAGCACCCTTTTCAGAGTCTTCAAATTCCTTGAACAGTTGTCCTCTACAACACACCCGATCTTCACTTGACCCAATAATCTCTTCTATCTACCCTTTTAAAAAATTGAGGTAAACTGACAAATGAAATTCACCATATTAAACATTTTTAAAATATACAATTGAGTGACTTTTAGTATGATCACAGTGTTACACAACCACCACCACTATCTAATTTCGGAATTTTCATTTCTCCCCAAATTCCATACCCACTAAGGAATCACTCCCATTCCCCCTCCCTCCCATACTGTTTTTCTGGAGTTACCTATTCTGGGCATTCCATATAAATTCAGTCATGTGGTATGTGACCTGTGTCTGACTTCTTTAAATTAGCATAATGTTGTGGAGGCTCATCCATGTCGGACCATGTATCAATTCTTCATTCCTTTTAATAGCTGAATATTATTCCATTGTACGGATATAGTATAATTTCTTTACCCATTCATCAGTTGATACACATTGGGCTTGCTTCCACTTTTTGGCTTTTGTGAATACTGCTGCTGTGAATATTCATGTACAAATTTTTGTGTAAACATGTTTTATATTCTCTTGAATATATGGTAATTCTATGGGAAACTTTTTGAGGAACTACCACTTTTTCACAGTGGCTATACCATATTATATTCCCAAAAGCAATGTATGAGGGTTCAAATTGCTCCATATTTTCACCAACACATTGTTTTAATCTTTTCATTAGTATAACTAGCCTAGTGGATGTCAGGTGGTATCTCACTGCAGACTTGATATTCAATTCCCTAATGACTAATGATGTTGAACAATCACTCCTATGCCTGTTGGCCATTTGTATATCTTCTTTAGAGAAACATCTATTTGAGTCCTCTGCTCATTTAAAAAGTTGTATTTATCTTTCTGTTGTTGAGCTGTAAGAGTTCTTTTCCCAACATTTTCCCAATACTGGGCCTTATCAGATATGGGTTTCAAATATTTTCTCTCATTCTGTAGATTACCTTTTCACTTTCTTTTTTTAAAATATATTTTATTGATTATGCCATTACAGTTGTACTATTTGCCCCCCTTCATTCCCCTCCACCCTGCACACCCCTCCCCCATCATTCCCCCTTTTCACTTTCTTGATTATTTCCTTTGATGCACAAAAGTTTTTAATTTTGATAAACCCTAAATTTTGTTTTGTTGTATTTTTGGCACCATATCGAAATATCAATTACCAAAGTCAAAGTGATGAAGAGTTACTTCTAAGAATTTTATAGCATTAGCTTTTATATTTAGGTTTGTTGATCCATTTTGAGTTAATTTTTGCATAAGGTATTAAGTCCTAATTTAATCTTTTGCCTGTGGATATCAAGTTGTCCCAGTACTATTTATTAAAAACTTTTCTCAGTTGATAGTCTTAGTACCCTTGTTGAAAATCAACAGAACCAAGAAGTATGAGTTTATTTCTGAACTCTCAGTTCCATTCCACTGATCTATGTCTATCCTATTCCAGTACCATGTGGCTTTGATTATTTTAGTTTTATAGTAAGTTTTGAAATTAGGAAGTGTGCATCCTCAAACTCTGTTTTTCATCAAGTTTGTTTTGGCTATTTGGGTTTTTTGTTTTGTTTTTGTGATTCCATATACATTTTAGAATCAGCTTGTCCATTCCTGTAAAAAGGTGGCTGGAATTTTGATATAAATTTCACCTGAATCTATAGGTTGATTTGGCGGGCATTATCATTGTGACAATGCTAAGCCATTAACACTGGATGTCTTTTCATGTATTTAGGTCTTTTAAAATTCTGTCAACAATGTTTTGTAGTGTTCAGTGGACAAGGCTTACACCTCATTATTTAAATTTGTAGTTAAGTACTTCATTTTTTATGCTATTATAAATTAAATTGTTTTCTTAATTTCATTTTAGTATTGATTATTGCTAGTGCATAAAATATAACTGATTTTTGTATGTCAGTCTTGTATCTTGAAACTTTGCTCAGGTAATCAATAAACCCTTCAGGTTCAAATTCCTGTGTTTCCAATGCTCCCTTCATTCTGTAACTAACACCTGATCTAGTCTTTTAATTGGTTTTCCTATTTTCAGAGCTCTCAGGTCTATCCTTTACACAAGAAGTTGGTAAACTTTTTCTGTAAAGATCCAGACAGTAATAGTTTAGTTTGCTGTCTCTGCTATAACTAACAACTCTGGTCATGGCATGAAAGCAACTGTAGATAAAATATAAATGAATTTATATTCATTTCAGATTCTCTTGAGTATATGGTAATTGAAGTATATGGCAAATGAAGAGGTGTGGCTGTGTCCCAATAAAAGTTTATTTCCAAATATATTTTGCCTGTGGGACACAGTTTGCCAAACCCTACTCTACACTGACATCAACATATTTTTCAAACGCACACCAAACTGTTGTATTCCTCCACCCATCCTGTGAGATGTCATTCTATATCTATTGCCTACAGAATAAAATCCATGTTTGGTGATATAGTTAAGTCCTTCATGATCTGACCTTGACACCCCCTAACTTCAAAAGACATAAATTTCTCTTCATATGGGAAGGGTAAACTATTTTTAAAGGTTTTTCTTTCTTTTTCATTGAGGCATAACTGAAATATAACATTATATTAGTTGCAGGTATACAACATAATGATTCAATATTTGTATAATTGTGAAATGATCACCACAGTAAGTTAACATCTTTCACTATACATAGTTACAAAGTTTTTACCTTGTGATGAGAACTTTTAAGATCTACTTTCTTAACAACTTTCAAATATGCAATATAGTATTGTTAATTATGTCATCACGCTGTACATTACATCCCCATGACTTATGTATTTTTATAATACCTTTTGATCCCTTTGATCCCTTTCACCCATTTTGCCTACTCCTTATTCCCCACTGTCAGGAACCACCAATCTGCTCTCTGAATCTATGAGCTCAGTATTTTTGGCTTTGTTTTTAGATTCCACATAATGGTCAAATATTCTACAACCAGCTTTCTATATTCTCACCTTTATCTTTAAGCATTTCAATCACATCTTCTATGAGAGTCACCACTTCTTTGCTGTTCTTTGGATGTTGTAAATTCACCCAAGTCCTGACCTCTTCAGGGAGAATTATCAGGAATTGTTCTAGCACCAGCAGTTCTAGGATCTGCTTCTTTGTATGAACCTCTGGTCTCAGCCACTGAAGACAGAGCTCCCAGAGCTGGCTCAGGGCTTCATGAGGCCCAGACACTTCCACATACTGGAAATGTCTGAACTTTTGACGAGAGGCCTCAGAGTCACATGTCTCCCTGACTGGGATGGTTTCCTGCTGCCAAGACTCATCTGCTCTCAGAACTTCACTTTGTTCAGGTAGAGTCAGGTTTTGTGGTTTTAAGACATCCATCAACTTCTTCAGGGTCTGCATCTTCCTAGATACAACTCTCACTTTGTTTGATTTTCTTATCTGATGAATGCAGTAATTTTTAGGCTTGGGCTAATAAGCATCTGTTGGGCTACATATAGGTGGTGTAATTTGAGACAAGTTATATATCAAAATAAAATTTCCAGAAGTTCCAGGAGTTTCAAATACAATGCCGACACACAGGTGCCTGAGAAACTGAAAAAAAAAAAAACAAACCACAAATATGACTTATAGGTAATGAACATGTATTAGCATAGTGTTAAGAAATAAAATAGTACAAATACCATTCTTAAAATTACTTAATAATCCATATAATGGATTTTCCTTTTAATTTTTGTTTTCCATCTTTGAAACAGAAGAATATGCTGTTCCTCCCCCCTAACCACTCCCAAAATACAGAGGAAGAAACACAGATAGACATCCCACAAAAAAGTGATTAGACATCTCGCAAAGTGATAAATACTCCTTTGATTAAAACAAACTTCATAATTTAACTGCAGTTAGATTTCTCCTATACTAGGTAACAAGTCATTTTTGCTTTACAACTAAGTAAAACAAATTTTCAGGCAGGACAGTCAGGGTATTAAGGTTTCATATTAGACATGCCTAAAAAAACCTCTTCTTAAGTTCCCAATAATATACCATTAAAGTTATACAAAATGAGAAAAATTGGCATAGCCCTAGAAATTAAGGTAAGAAACTATCATTTAAAAAATACATGCCGTGGCTGGTGTAGCTCAGTGGATTAAGCACAGGCCTGTGAACCAAAGGGTTGCGGTTCAATTCCCAGTCAGGGCACATGACTGGGTTGCAGGCCAGTTCCCAGTAAGGGGCACATGAGAGGCAACCACACATTGATGTTTCTCTCCCTCTCTCCTTCCCTTCCCCTTTAAAGATAAATAAATAAAATCTTTAAAAAAATAAAATTAAAATAAAAAATACATGAGTAACTACAAGAATACTACAAGAATATATAAGAATGAAATGAGCTATTTCACTGTTAGGGATTAAATCAAAAAGTATATTCCCAAATTACAATAATGAAAATATTTCATTCATTAGAACTCACAAGGGGCCAGTCTGCAATGTCCACAAGGGAAGTCTCAGGCCCAACTAAACAGACTCGCAGGACTACCAAGGGTCACGTTTGGCACTTTATTCATAAGGCTATCAGACAGAAAACACAGCTTGTTGGCAGAGTGAGTAACTGGCATTTTTCTTCAGTGGGAGTTCTCACAGAGAATAGCTCAAGTCAAGAGACCCACATAGGTTGTGCAAAAGCATCTTGATTGAAAAGCCTTCCCCCAGGAGCCAGTGTCTCTTCTAACAACTCTGAGCACAGCACTCAGGGTTCCCCAAAGAGCTTTTCCAACTTTAACAGTCATTATGTTCAGGGAAGTTCAGGTGCAGCTTTCTAACCAATTTCCAATACTCCCAGTCTGTATATAATTTACCATTCAAAGGTCTTTTTTATTGTAAGCCTCAAGGCCAGTGGTTTTCAGGGGTGATTTTGCCACCACAACAATGTCTGGAGATATTCTGGTTGTCACAACTGGGGGTTATTACTGGCACCTAGTGGGAGGGGACCAAGAATGCTGCTAAACACCCCATAATATACAGCACTCTAATACAAAAAATTATCTAACCCCAAATATCAATAATTAGAAGATTAAGAAACCCTGATGTAGGCGATGTATAGTGACTAAGAGTACATACCTGACATGAGGTTAAATCTCAGCTGAAGTTACTGTATCTATGAAATTGAACAAGTTATTTAACCAAAGCTTGAGTTTTCTCAACTGTAACATGGCTATAACAATACTTGTCTAATTAAATTATAAGGGTTAAAAGAACACTCATCTCACTTCTTGGCAGACAGTAAACAATCAATACATGCTTCGTTGAGAGTTTTTACCATAAGAGGATGTTGAATTTTGTCAAATTCTTTTTCTGCATCTATTGAGATCATCATATGATTTTTATCTTTCATTTAATTAATGTGGTGTATAACAGTGACTGATCTGTGAATATATTTGCAAATCATATATCTGATAATGAGTTAATATCCAAAATACACAGAAAACTCATACATCTCAATAACAAAACAAACAAACAAGTAATCCAATTTGGAAAATGGACAGAAGATCTGAATAACCATTTTTCCAAAAACATACAGATGGACAATAGATAAATGAAATGATACTCAACATCATTAATCACCAGGGAAATGCAAATCTAAACCACAATAAAATATCACCCCACACCTGTGAAAATGGCTATTACCAAAAAGACCAAGAGATAACAAGTGTTGGTGAAGAAAAGAGACCCTGGGGATGTAAACTGATGCAGCCCTCTGAAAAAGAGTATGGAGTTTCCTTAAAAAATTAAAAACAGAACTACCATATGATTTAGCAATTCCACTTCTAGATATTTATCTGAAGAACCAGAAAACACTAACTAAAAAGATATATGCATCCTTACGTTCACTGCAGCACTATTTATAAGAGCCAAGATATGGATACAACCTAAGTGTCCATCAATAAGTGAACAGAAAGAAATTGTAGTATATATGCAAAATGGAATATTATTCAGCCATAAAAAAGAATGAAATCTTTCCATTTGCAACAACATGGATGGACCTTAAGGGCATTATGCTAAGTGAGGTCAGGTAAAGAAAGATAAATACTGTATGATATCTCTTATATTTGGAATCTAAAAACAAAAACCAAGCCAATACAAAAAGCCAATAAAACCAAGCTCATAGATTCAGAGCACAGATTGGTGTTTACCAGGGAAAGCAGGTGGGGATAGGGGAAATGAAGTTTATTTTTGTTTGTTTTTTATAAAGAGCTAGAAGCAAATGAGCAAAATATAATTTCTCAAGGTTTTCCACTTTGTCTTATTGCAATCATACATCTATTTTAAAAACCACTCAACGTTTATGTCTGCCTATTAGTAGATCTTATAGATTGGTGAAAACTTTGTGCACAAAAGTTATTTCCTAACTCCTGACATCCAACACAAACCTCAAAAGCTTAAGAAAAGTCCAGGTTCATTAAAAAAAATAAATAAATAAAGTTTTAAGCAGCCCACCTTTGTTTACAGTATGAAAATTTTAAAAATTAAGTTTCAAAGTAACAAAGAGGTATCACTGAGTCCCAATGAAACAATGAACTGTACACCCAAATACTTTAAAAATTAGCACAAAGAGAGAAAAGGGGCAAAAGCTCACAGGCAATATGTTGAAAATTAAAAAACAACAACAACAAGAAAACAAGGAAGCACAAAAATGAAAAACAGAAATAACAGAAACATTTATTGTAACAATAAATGAATAAACGTACCAGGTAAAAGTTTAAACTCGACAAGACAAACATTCAAGAGACATCCAAAAAAAAGAACTCCAACGTTGAAAATAAAAGGACGATTAAAGATATAACAAGCAAATGTAAGCAATAAAATATGTATGAATATATTGAACTATATATTAAAAGCACAAATGCATTAAAACAGAGGAAACTTTAAATGATTAAAGGTACAACTCATAATGAGTATAACTATTATTAAATGTATCAAAAAATGTAATTGAAATATGTTTATAGCAAAACCCTCTGAAAAGATTAAATTAACAATGACAACAGAAATGGGAGACTACAACAACTTTCTCAGTCTTTAAAGAAAAAATACTAAAATTAATTACTAAGATAGTGCATGTAAGTAATATACTTAGTCCGATATATAAAACAAATAGAATGTAGTTTATATTCAGGCACCGACGAGAATGCTTACAAAACAGCTACTTATTAGGCTACAAAAGAAAAAAAACCTCCTCAATAAATAATATTAATATAAAGTGATACAGACCACATATACTACCAAAATGAAAAACAGAATTCATCCAGAGAAAACTGGATGAATTGAAAGTAAATTTCAATTACTTTGAAATTTAAAATGTTGCTTCTAAAAAACAATTCAAACTAAAAACATTGCTCATCATAATCTATAGAGCAAGCTCAAGCTCTACTATGAAGCAATGTCAAAGCCTTACATATATAGTTAAACAAGAATGAGATGAATCAAACATTCAACTCTGGGAAAAAGCAACAAAATATACTAGACATTTATAGGTTACAAATATGTTAACAATGTACTCAATATACATAATTATAGAGCTTGGAGGACAACTAAGATGATATACTTGCACTCAGGATACAGGATAGGTAAAAGTCAGGAATTTTCTATCTTTTTTATTTAATGGCACATGTCAACTAATTATTAAAATTCTGTGGCACACTAAAATTTTTTTGCCAATCTAACAAAAAAATAAGTATAATTTTGATTCATTCACATCGGATGGCTATTGTTGTATTGGCTGTTGTCATTTTTAATTTGACGGTCTAAGGGAAATGAGGTCAGTGCCCCCAAAGAATCAAATATTGCATGTTTTAATCATTCTTGTGACACACCGGTTGAAAATTGCTGGTTTAGGTGATAGAAGAGCCCAGGTTTGGCGATGACAGCTAGGAGCTTAAGTGGTCTGTACGTGATGAATATCGAAATAAACAAAATCAAGAACTATTTAAATTTAAACTGAGTAGCCGCCTTTGAGGATGAAGGTGGGACTCAGCCTGAAGAGTTAAGACAGTGAGTCAAACGCCCTGGGGAAGGGCTCAGCAAAGCGCAGGTGACAGAGATCTGGAGAGTTGCATTAAATAACCAGGTGACACAACTTCAAATAATTGTACAGTGTCAAGGAATTTGAACAGGCGTTTATTATGCGGAGAATGTTGCTTTTAATCCAATAGATTTTAGGTAAGCAGTAGCCTGAGGTAAGGAGAGCCTTTCAGATTAGCTCAGAAAAAGAGAAGTAGAAAACAGTTTGAAAATGAATGTCAGAAATAAGAAAGACACCTGGAGGCTTTAATGTTTTGAGGGCTGTGGTCAGGAATAATTGGGAAAGCAAGGCAAGTTGGAATGAACTTTTCTCCATTTTCTTTCCCAGTTGGCTGATCCACTCACACTTGGTATTTCTGGGAGGAATCAATACCAGTCATTTCCAAACCAGCTAAGTAAGGTGTATTCCCCAGGTTGAGCCGCCGGAGTCTGTCCCATCACGGAATGGAAGAGACAGCAGCGAGATGAAATTCCTGGTTTAGCAGAACTCCGGATCTAGAGCCCAGCAGTCCTGCTCCACTCCTTAAACCCTCTTAGCACTGCTCTCTCACACACTAACTTCCCCCGCAGCCCTCTCCTCCATCCTAGTCAGCTCGCGCCCACCCAGCTTCCCCAGCAGACACTGCGGAGCATAGAATTGGAATCCAGGTACCTCTCTACTAGCCGAGGAGCCGTGTGCGTTCCGCGTAGACGCCCCCTAGTGGGACTCCCAATTCCGGCAACTCGCGTCCGGCAGGTACCCGCGAGCAAGCGTTCCAGTCCCGGCTCTGCTCAGGCACCCCAGAGCGTCAGTTCCAAGGAAAGCCGCGGAAGTCGCCGTCTTGGCTGGCAAAAGGAGCTGGTGTTGCCAATCACACCACAAATGGGAAGCCCTGGACCTTTAACGCCTTAAACACCACCGCTGGGCCGGGCCGGACGCGTGTCTTACAAATGCCAATGCAAGCCAGCAGCGCCTCCACAGCCCATCCCTGCGCACGCGCACCAGCGTGGAAGGAGCACCCAGAAGCTCGCGCGGCCCCAGCGGTGCCCGACCTGGGTGGGCCGTTCCTAGTCCAGTTCATTTCCCTAGGCCCCGCCCACTTCGTAAACATGCTTCCTGCTGTCCGGCCAGGAACGGGTGGGTGGAAGCCACGTGTTGGGAGATGGGCATCTCAAATTTACGTCGCTAACCCAATCCCATCCAGGAAAACTGGCCAAAATCTTTATTACTTTCTACCCGCCAGACCGCACCTTCCTAATTTGCTTGAAACAAACAAAAAACGGTGCCATAATTTCGACAAAATACGGTCTTGCATATAACATGGTTTTCGCTGATTGGCACACTGATTCATTCGTTAAGTTTTGTATCAAGGTAAAAATTTTTGCAGAAGATCATAAGCTCAAGTTTCACTTACTGTGTATGAGATACGTTGTGACCTCCAAGAAGCATTGTCTAATTAATAGACGAATGACTGGCATCTGGATCTTAGAGGTGTTGGGGGCTAAACATGTAAAATTTGTATCATTTCATGGTAGAGGGAAATTGATGCCATCAGTGGGAGTAATATAACATACAGACAGAGATAGAGGAAATAGTAAAAGGAGCCTCAGAGGAAGAACTCAAAGTAGTCAATCAGGGAAAGGCTCTCAGGGAAGGAGCTATGAATCTAGCTTATGAGCTGATCAAGATGTGGAGCTGGAATTTTTTATTTTGTTGCAACCTCCTCTGTACTCATTACTATGATAAGTGAATTATAAGTCTTGTCTCAATCATCACCACACTACTATAAGGTACAGGTTGTCATCCCCCAAGTTATTGAAATTAGAAGATGGCACAGCTAAGGTTCAAGCTCACATCACTTCATACTTGTCCCACAGCTGCTCTCTCCATGCTACAAGATTTAGAAGTAAGAGAAGACAGAATGGTGGAATGATATTTTGTAAGATTGAGGGTATGATGTGTGCCACGAATTGTTTGTGACGGGACAGGCCTTTATACAATTCATAGTTTACTAGCTAGGCAAAATAAAAACTTAACTTGAAAGTATTGATAGTAAACATGCTCCAACATTGTCTTGAGTCAATTAAGAGTGCAGGGAAATGGAAAATGCACTAAGTAGGAGGGAGAATGATCAGCCTTCCTTTCATAACATTTGCAGACTTGAAGTTTCTGACCAGGCACCTTCAAAGGCCCACTGAAGTTTAGATGGTCTTCTCTAATGAAACGAGGGTCATTTTCAGGTTGCAGTCACCTCACAGAAGGTCTAGCTATTGGGATGGCACAAGTTTATAAGGTATCTCTTTGCCCGTCTTCTCCATTGAGTTTACTATGATTTGAATGTTGGCAGCTTTTCTCATCAGAAGCCATAGAGCCCAGAAGACAGTGAAAACTCATTTTTAACATGCTAAAGGAAATAAACTCTTCAGCTCAGAAGTGGTGTTGCAGTAACTGCAGGTTAGAAACACTTAAAGCTGTTTATTGTAATCCCTAGAGAAGCACTAAAAAACACAACTCATACCATATAGATAAAGGTTTTCAAAGCCACCTGGAACCAGATCCTTAGGCTGCATAGAATTGTCTGTTACAAACTCCATTCCCTCTTATCACCATGAAATTCAGCTCTTCTGATTTATAGGTTTGCTTCTTATTAAGTAATCTGTTTGCAGTAAAAAAATACACATGCAGAGATACTTGACCTGACTTAAATCAACACTTTTCCTAGACTACTTCTATACTCATTCAGCAAATTTGTGTTGCAAATCCAATGTGGCAGATACTGTCCTAACAGTTGAGAGTATATTAGTAAACACAATCAGATGAGAGTTGTCTTAATGTTGAACAAAAGATCCCTTATGCTAAATTATTATATCTCTTCACTTAAAGCTCTGTGTTATTATACACATCCTCAGAATATTGTGTTGTATAGATTGTGAATTCCACTGGTCAGTCTGGAATTTTTCACTAGTCAAGACATTAGTGGGGATAATTTGGTATCATAGGCTATATGTAATGGACATTTGTCAACTTTTGGCTTCTGATCATTGAATACCCCATGTTTATAGTTTTCTGTGAATATGGGGGGATTTTAGAGTGTGCCTCCCTCCACAGAACTTGAATATTACCTGAAATCCACTTTCTTTGTCTTCATTGCAGCTAGGGCATTGCATGTAACTTGAACTCAATTAGATGGGCCCTGTGTAGACTTTAAATGAAGAGGTAATGATATGAAAAAGCAAAGACAGCAAACAGTTTCTTGTATTTTTTAAAAATAGATGTTTTAAAGTAGTTTCAGATTTACAGAAAAATTGAAAAAATATAGTACAACAAACTCCCATATACCTACTCACTTTTCCCCATTAGTTTTTCTAACTTTATTTTTATTATTGACACTACTAAAGATGTCCCTATTTCTCCCCCCTTTGTCCACCTCCACCCAGTCCCTACCCCCCTTCCCTCTGGCCATCACCACACTCTTGTCTGTGTCTATGGGTTATGCACATATGTTCTTTGGCTAATCTGTTCACCTTCTCTCATCCAGTCCTCTTTCCCTGCTCTCCTCTGACAGCTGTCATTCTGTTCCATGTACCCATGCCCCTGGTTCTGTTTTGTTCATCAGTTTATCTTACATTCTTATGGTACATTTGTTACAAATAAGAAAATAACATTGATACCTTATTGTGGGAGCTACTTTGCCCTCAACCCCCCCCCCCCCCCCGTCTGCCACGGATGAAAGTAAACACTGCCAAGACATGATCTGCTTGGGATGGAGACGTGGCCAGTTTCTCAGAAGAAAAAGGCCTGGAGCCCCTTCCTCCCAGGGATTTTATTGGGTTGTAATGCACAGGAATACAAGGCATCAAGGATCGAACAGTAGATAACATTTCAAAGAAATCTGAGGGCTTAGTCTGTGTCAGTGTCTGTCAGGAAAGGGAGTTTGCAGAAACTTTGGGAGGGATATTGGAGGGATATTCATTTCCTGCTGGGACCCTTAACATATGAATGAAAGCACGTTTCACAGGATTTTTTAGGAATTCTTTCTTATGCTAGATTTCTCCCTAGATACTGCTCTAGCAAGGCAAGGAGCTGTGCCCCTCCCCATCAGGTTTTCAGGATTAAGTGGATTAGAGCCAGGAAGCACTTCTGGCAGAGGACTTGGGGACTCAGGCTATGCCACATAGCTGGAAGGCAAGCGTCCATTGTTCCCTCTTTGTCGCAGCACCTTCCCCCCCAGTCCTTTCATAATGGCCTCCCAAGTGATTGTGTCTGGCTTAGGTTGCCCCTCCTTGTTAGGAGTCTTATCTGTTTCTGACTACCGACCATGCTTTGGGGGCAGGGGGGATGAAGCTGAGGCAGTTTTTGCTACCAGACACAAGCTTTTGCCTCCTGTGGCTCAAATTCTGGAGAATGCTCACTCATCCTTAGCCATGGGGGGTAGTAACAATTTCTGAAACCAGGCAGAGCGGTTCCCAACACCTTATTATTAACTAAAGTCCATATTTCATTCAGACTTCTTTAGGATTTTTTGTATTATTATTTTTTTACTGATCCTTTTCTGATCCAACCAGATAGTGTATTACATTTAGTTGTCGTGTCTCCATAGGTTCCTCTTGGCTGTGACAATTTCTCAGACTTGTTTTCGATGACCTTTACCATTTTGGGAAGTACTGGTCATATATTTCATGGGAAGCTCATCTATTAGACTATTCCTGATGTTTTTCTCATGATTAGGTTCAGGTTATGAGATTGGGCAAGACAGATCACTGAAAAAGTACTTTTTTTCATTATATCAGCTCAAGGAGACATACTATCAACATCACTTATCACTGCTGATGTTAGTTAGCCTTGATCATCTGTGGCAGAGGAAGCAGCAACATCCCAGTTTCCAGGTTCAGCCAAGAAGCAGCTCCAGAAGCAGAATCTGCACTGATGGTGTTGGCAGGGTATTTGCGCCACCTAGTGTTGAATAGTAGTTATGTGATAGGGTTTGGGTCTGTGATTCTGGCTCAGGACCAGAATACCAGAATTGCCTTTATTCCAATATTTGTGCTTTTAGCTTTAATCATGAGTAGTCATTATGCACAGTCATGCATTATCACTATGATACAGGGTGTAGCCAAGGGGGGGCAAAAAAAAGATTTGGAGTGGTGTCTGGAATTCAAAGTGTTTAGGAATATTGGAGAGACATATAAGATGTCCTCCCCCTCCCCCTCCCCCTCCCCCTCCCTCAGGGGGAAGAGACAAATAGAGCCAGGGCCATTGAGAGCTGTTTTGCATAGCAACAGTTTTGCAGCTAACCTCTAGAATGATTATTTAACATATCTATAACCTTTAACTGGTTTCATAGATATGTGAAATAGCTGTGGCCAAGTTTTGAGCCAGGAAGAAGGGAGTGGCTTCTACCCAGGATGTAACTAGGGGCAGGTCCCCTGAGTTACACAGCTGCCTGTGTGAGAGCTTGGAAAAGATGGGCTCCAGGACATGAGGAGATAACTGCTAAGGTGAAGAGGGGAGTGAACCATGTGGTTTTGGCCAGAGTGGAGACGTGGCAGCCATTGAAGGGAGAGCCACACAGTTTGGGTCAGAGTGAGGACCCCTGCAGTCATGTAGAGAGAGAGCCATGTGGTTTCAGCAGAGTGAGGACCCCCTCTTGGTGAGGTGAAAGAGGGAGCCACGTGGTTTGGGCAGAGCACGGACCCCCTCTTTCCCAGGTGAAAGGGAAAACCATGCAGCTTTTCCAGAATGGAGATCCCTGAAGCCAAGTGAAGAAGAAAGCCACATGCTTTTGGTGGAGTGCGGACCCCTGCAGCTTTGGTAAGAAGAGGCCCACGCGGCTTTGGGATGCTTCCTTTGGCTGCATGGCCTAGAAAGCAGGAGAGACTTTGGAACTTGGTACAAAGAACTCTTGCCAGTGGACCATGAGAGGATACCACAGTACTTTGGATTAACTAGAGATCCTGTCTGACACAGC